ACCTCCGCCGGGACGCCGGCGGGAGCCCCCGGTCCGCCAGCCACTTCAGCGTCTGTCTGATCAGCCACACTCTCAGCAGCTCCACCTGCCTGATCTTCAACGTCTGCCCCCACCTCCTTTTTGAAGGATAAGAAATGTTGCTTCCTTAGTTTTTCCAAAGAAAGACTTGAGAAAGCACCAAGATCGCCAGCCTGACGGATTTGGTCAACCAGCTCAGCACAAGAGGATGGACTTGATAGAAATTGCGTCTTTAGCAGATCAGACACGCCTGCATCCCCTGCAGGGCTAGATTTGTCCACCTTTGGATCAGTCGCTGAAGTTGCAGAAGGACCTTTCGTTCGGGCAGATGACTCTCTTGCTTTCCTAGCCTCCGCCAACCTCACTTCCAAAGGAATTTGCGACATCGAATCAACTTCACGCTTGATTGCTCGTGACTCAACAGTTGAAACATGATGGTTGGATGGATGAGCAGACTGCCCAGATCGACTTCCAATCTTCGACTAGTACAAACGACTCGAATTTCAAAAAGGAGCATCCGCATCTCTTTGCCTCTCAACAAGTGAGCTAGATCGTGCACAGACTACTTTACGGAGCATATCACGATCTCCAAACTCATCAGGCTTGAGCTCTCGAAGACTTGACATCAGCCTTCCTCTTTTAGGGGAGTTTAGCAAAACACTCCTCATGTCCAGCAGGCAGATCATCAAGGCTCGAACCATCCTGCTTCCATCTATCGACATCCTTAGCAGGGGGCAGTCCACCAACTTTCTCCTGATCGTCGCTCAGCAGCCGCCAGCGGTCACCGCCGCACCAATCGTCTTTGGCCGCCAGTCACGACGACAACCAGCCTAGTCCCACCCAACTGGTCCTCGCCTTGAAAAAGAGAAGACGAAGAAAAATTTACGTGCTCGACTTACTTTGGGATGCACGGCAACTCCTCTCTTCGACAAGCAGTACAAAATTCTCCAAGATCTTTCTCAAGCTAGAAAGTAGAGAAGTTAAGTTTGCAATGTAAGAAAGAGTGAAGAGAAGCCCTGTATTTATACAAGTTGGACAACCCGGGTCAAGAAGGAATCTCAAGCTCTTTCCTACTGAGAATCCAACTCCAACAACAGTCAGAAGCCTACACCAATT